TTAAAATTAAAATATGAATATTGAGTTATTATTATTAAGTTTTATTTAAAATAGTTAATCTAAAATCAAAAGTAATAGTATGTTAACATGATATTTATGATTTTTTTTTTAAAATTTTATATATGCAGATTTATTATAGTGATTGATTTTTAATATTTAGGATAGTGAGATATACTAATTTTAAATTGGTAGGATTACAAAGACAACGATTTGATTACTCAAATTCAATTTCTTTGAAATTTACCTTAATTAAATTATTAATATGCTGATTGTTATAAATATTTGTGATTTACTAAACCATTAATATAGAGATTATTGCATGTCTTTAATATAGAAATCAAAAAGGGTTATTAATTGGAGGAGAAACTTCATAATCACATTTACTTTATTGTGGTATGAATCCATTATCAATTCATTAAGGTATGAAATATTCTAATGACTTCTCAAATTATTATTGGGTTTTCATCATGAATAGAGCAAATTCTAAATTATTAAAAATTAAGAGTTGATAAGAGAAATAAAAATCTTTATCTATTCTGTATGATTAGAAAGGAAATTTAATAATGTTAATATTTTTATTAGAACTTCTAATTTAATAGCAGGAGAATTATTTAACTATGATGTAAGTATATTGAAAAATGGATTTAATCTTAACAAATAATCATCATCAATAAGTTTTTCTTTTAATATACTAGAATTCTGAATAATATCTCCTATAAATATGTGTTATTATTTCTCAACTCAACCTTTAGTTTTAAGTCTAAAACAATTTCTAAAAGAAAACAGGATGTATGCAGCAACAATATTTTGTTATGACTAGTGGTTACTAAAATTAACTTTCATATATACACGACAAATAACAAAATATCTAAAAGCGAGAAGCAATTTCTATGGTTTTGGATGAATATGATTCTAAGAACTTGTATTCATGTTTATTTAAACGTTTTCCATTATTATTAGCTTTTTGATAATATCACTAAAACAGGCTATTATTTAATGATGCTTTAACTAAATTTAAGATTTCAGAGTTTAGGTAGCAATCTTAAGATAATGATTAACAAAGTATTTCAAGGTTATCCTTTAGAGGATAAACTTTAATATATTCATTTTCTCGATTTGTCTCAGAAATAAAGCATCAGATGGTAATTTTGATTGGTGTTCTTAATTTCTTTAGCTTTGAATATTGAATATATTTTCATTTGAATTTTTAATAATTCCATTATAATATTGGACGTATGGTTTTAAGTAGACATAATTTAAAATTATTATTTTCTGTTAATTCTCCAAAATCAACATTTTTAATTCTATTCAATATTACAAATTGTTTTTTTAGCTTTTCAAAATATTCAGCGATTTTAAATTTAGACTGTTTAATATATTTAGTCTGGATTTGCATTTAATTCACTTTTATAATCATTCGGTATTTTTTCAAATCTATTAATGGCAAAAGGAATAAGACTGTATACTTAATAAATTTTTTGATAATGCAAATGCTGAAGTCAAATCGCCATCTATTATTTAAAGATTTTCCTGATAATTTTGTTTAATGTAGGTTTTATCGAATTATGTTGTATTCAATATCAAACTGCAGGAATTCAATTGGTTAATTGCATAATTCTTATAATTAGAATCCTTATAATAGTAATTTATCAAATTACTTTTTTAATTATATATTATTTTCAATATATCATATAAATCTTAAAACCTTCAAAAAGCATTTAAATTATTAAGGATTCTTGAAAAGTAATGATAGTTATTTTTGATAAACTCATTAACAGATAAAAAATTCATTTATGTTATTTTTAATAGATTTCATATAAGTTCCTTCATGATATTATCGATAATATCTTTATCAAAGCCAGCATTTCTGGCATTTATGTACCATTACTTTGATTCATCCCTTTTTCCAATTTTGAATAATGCATCAGCTAAATAAATGTAGAAAGAGCTACCTAGACTTTTCATATAATTAGGGATTTGGTTTACTCTTTAAGACTGTGTCATAAAATTTAACTGTTTCCTTATAAATGTTCAAATAGTGTAATGATAGACCTATACAATTTTATATTTATGAACTCTTTACCCTGAAGATTGAGTGCATC